AAACATATATACAGTCATATAATCATATATAATCATAATTCTACAAAGATTTAAACACAATATAAGCAGATATCGATTTATAAAAGAAACATTATCTACACATGCAATTAGAGAGGAATAATATAATGGTTGGAAAATGACAAAAATATACTGTGGTATATTCCCAAATGTTCAAAGATTTACAATATACATATTTGTTTTATAAGATGATTTTCACCTTACAAAAGAACAAGTAGTGTAGCGGGGTAGTTGGAAATTTTATATACCAGACAATTGCTAACCTTTTATTGTCCTTTTAACCATGCTGGATATTTAAACACATAACATAATTTTTTTTTAATTTAAATTTTTTATTAAAAACATTTGTTTTATAAGATAATTTTCATCTTATGAAAGTACAAAGAGGTAAAGGGGGTAATTGGAAATTTTGTATAATAGACAATTGCTAACCTTTTGTTGACTTTTTAACCATGTATACAAACACATAACATAGTTTTTCTTTTTAATTTAGATTTTTTTTAAACACACGCCACAGAGTGGTAAAATTTACTAATAAACCTGCGGTAGTGAAATATTCGAAAAATTTCTAAATTTTTGTATCAATAAATTTATTATTTTGATATTATATGTATTTACTGTAAACATATAAGCGTATATAATGCAATAATCATAATCAACTTACTGGGCTTGTAAAACAAGTAGTACTCAAATCCTTTTTTGATACAATAAACATTTTAATACGTTAAAACACATTTGAGCTAATTATGAGGTGCATACCTATAACAAACTTTTACAATTACTTTTGGTCATTCTGTTACAGAAATTTGGGACGACCATTACGATTCTCTTCAGTGATATTACCCACATCAGGTGGTTGCCTTTGAAATGGCATGTCATTAAGTTGCTTAATTGTTTGGCCTCGGCATGTGGATGTTATTGATCGTAACAGTTTATAGAACACATCACGAAAATGTTTTAAAATAACAGGGGACCATATACATAACTATATCTTTATTGATTCATTTAATCCACCCATGAGGCTAAAACCGATCTTGCTTTGATGTAAAAATGGATTATGATGAAAGCTAATTATTCATCATGACAGTATATTTTATAGATAAAAATTAATTAAATAAGCATGTTCTGCAAAACTTGAAATTGAAATCCCATTTTATGAATTATTTATACCTATTTATGAATAAATCGTAAAAAACATAACTTCAACATAATTGAATTTTTGATTTTATTAAAGAAGGAACAAGGAATTTTTGTATACCAATATTTTAAAAAAAACGGCGAAACTTGGGGTGAATCATTTTCTTTGTGAGTGGTATTTTCTTTTTCAGAAAAGTCGTTCTGATGCTGACAATGCTAGCCCTAATCTCGTGATGAAAATCTCAGAAATGATCTCTGAGGTTTTTTATCTGTCTGCGAGTTTTTGAGAAAATGTTGATGACAAATTGTATGCAAACATGTGTAGTGTTAGATACATATCTTTCAGGAATATCAGAAAATACTAAAATATGTCTGAAAGCTACAACGTAAAATTAATCATTTTTGCTCTAGAAACCGATACAAATTAAGAAAGTATTCTAAATTGAAATTTTCAATTTTTTCTATGTCTTATAAATTATAAATTTGACATATGACAAATTGTTTACAAACATGTGCAGATACAAATTGGTCTACATCAGGAACATCAGAAAATGCAAAATATATCTGAAATCTACAAGATTGCAATGCAATATTAATTAATTTTGCTCTATAAACCGACACAAATTAAGAAAGTATTCTACATTCTAATGTTCAATTTTTTACAAGTTTTTATGATTTTTGGTTGAATATGAATTGATCCTTAAGTTTGCATGTTAAACTTATTTGCATGTTGGTGAGAAACCATAAAATGCTATTGAAAATACTTTAGTTTTACTTGAAAAAAAATTGAAGTACACTTTGAGTAAATATTTCAAATAAGATTGGTATGGAACACAAAAGCTGCATAAGTTTTATAGACATTTTGTCCACTATAAAAAAATCAAGTCCACAAATCAAGATTTGCACCATTTACTTCGTATCTCCGGAACTACTGGATCTGCTTTCCCCAAGAACTTTATCAGTACTTCAAATCAACGTTAGTATAAATTGAATATTATTTTATCTATTCAAATTAGTCAGTCCATTATCGAAAACGTAAAAAAATTATATCCAAACTATCACAATCGGCTTTTCTGGACTAAAATCTTTTAATTTCCTATTATTCAACATTGTGAATAGGTATAAAGTAGAGGCATTTTATATCAATTTGTGAAGATATATATTAGTATATATATATATATATATATATATATATATACCTGAATGTTATTACTACCCTGTCACCTTTTTGCGATATCTCTATAATCACACCGAACAAGCTGGGCCCAAGAAAAACAAGAAAAAACTTTTTCTTCAGGTACATTATAATAAATCATCAGGACTTGCGACGTTATCCTGTAACTCTCTTGTTTATGCGCATATATAGTAATGAATCACATCCAATTAAAATTGTATTTATCTTTGTGGCACTTGCCCCGTGTATGTTTGCACATAACAGTATTAGGAGTTGATGTATCATATCTGTCACTTCCGAAATGTCATATGCCTTGGAAAAGACACATTGAATTTACGCCACCGACAAGCATATGCGTTTTTTTGTGTTTGTACTTTTTCATCTTACTCCCGAAAGCAAAAGCTGATGAATATTTTACTCAATGGTTTTGTGTTTTATAGAGGATTAATATTGAGAGAGACAAACTTCGAGATTTATTTTCATATTTGTTATTTACTTCAAATTCAATTTTATTCTAAAGATATTAATTATTAACTTTAACGTTATTATTATTTATTTACATTTTCAAATTTATTTTATAGAATAATGAAAGAAAATCCATCCCAAAAATTATAGTAGATTAGAGATAGATTCCATGATTTGGTTGTCTTAATTTTATTTTTAAACACTAATAATATTATTGAGTATCCATTATCGCAATTTTTTATAATTTGCATTTTTTTAACTAAACTTAGTATATACTATCGAAATTATAAAAAAAATGTTACGGTACATACAAAACCAATGCAGTTTTTTCTGCAAAAACGTTGATAAAATTGTTTTTATTAAACCATCAATTATTGAAATGATTAGTTTCAATCTAATGCTTATCAAATTTCATAAAATAGATTTGAAAAATTCGAAATAAGACCTACCCTTTTCACGAATATTCGAAGAAAGTCAAAATTTTCGTTACATACTTTTTTTAAATTTTTATGTGAAGTCATTTAAAATGATTGGAATTTTGGTTATATTTATTCATGTATGGTATTCAATACTGGCTAAATAACCTCTTTCTATTTCCAATGAACATTTGAAAAAGCTCTACAAAGAAAAAAAACTTGAATGCAATAAAAAAAATAATATATATATTGCTTACGGTTAATTGATTTAATTAATGCAAAAAAATTTAATTGCTTCATATTATCAAATATTGTTACGTTAATTTCAAATCAAAAATCATAATTGCCAAATAATGAATAAATATATAAATTGCCGACTGATTTTGCACAATGAACTGCCAGTTTTATAGTTCAGGATACTGAAATTGGCCATTATACTGAGCTTTTTCGAACACATTATATAAGGTTGTCAAATATCTCCCTACCGCCTTTTTGTATTATAAACCAAGAGCAAAAAACAAAATATATTTAAGTATAAAACATTTCTGCTTTGAAATAATTATGTTTGTTTAATTTTTATTAATATTTTTAATATGAATTTAGATTCTGAGACTCCTTATAGTCTCATCTATCAACATATAGATAAATAATAACTATCTATAAATTTTGTTTACTATCTATAAAATTAAACAATAAATAAATTCAGTCAAATACTCGAGTATTCGAGCATAAATTTATTTTCTACATAAATTCGAAAACCGGTTAAAAACCGGTTTTTTAGTAAAATTAAAATTCGAAAAACCGGTTTTCTGAAATGTCGGTTTTTGTATAAACCCTACAATTAAACAACTGTTGATATTTTCATCATTTGAAGTAAATTGTGACTCTACCTTTGGTGATCACTTACAGCACATGAAATTGCGAATGTTTCAGAAAAGCTGTAAGAATAATTTCTTTGGACAAACGTATGATTTGTGTTTGCTAATAAATCTTTTTGAGTAAATAATCCCTGGGCTTTCTACTACATTATTTTCGAGTAACGCCTTGTCATTCATCCGGCAAGTCTGCAAGATTCATTGCCATAATCAAGAGGAAATGTTTTTATCGCCGGAGTACTAAGAATGATCTTCCAATGTCTCCATATACAAACCGGCAGCGGCATTATGACTTTCGCTGTTTGCTCTGTTTATTATATTTTTTGGAAGCAATTTATCAATGCCACTCTGAAAAGTAATCATCCCTGAAAGAGTGATGTACGACATTTCATGTAATTGGATTCTCTACTCGTGTACATCTGTTCGATTTTCGACTTTTTTAAACTTAGGATGTACTTATCTATGGTTAAGCAATATTTACCACTCAATTTGAAAAAATACATTTTTTTTCGTCAACAATTTAAATGAACAACTATCTCTTTATAACATGAATTACACGAGCTTATATAATTTTCTTTGAACTTTTTGCTTCAAAGCGAAGACTCTCTGAATGGAAGTTGAATATCTGAAAAAAATGAGGAAAGGAATAAATACATTTTCTTGAGAAACTTCTGAATTTAAATTGTAAATATTAAAAGAGTGTGTTAGTGATAAATTCTGAAATCTGAACTTGAAAACTTGTTTTCAACATGAATTTTTTTTATTTTTTAAGCACATAATTTTGAAACCTATATTTAAAATTTTTGAACATATATTAATACTAATTTTAAAGTTTATTTTAATCTTATATATATATATATATATATATATATATATATATATATATGTTTAATGTTTTATTTTGTCCTTTTGCAGATGCAATATGAATGGCAACTACAAGAATCCTGACGATATGCTGGAATTATCTTTGATTTTTCTACGTATGCAAGAGTCTGAACTAAGAATACATTTTCTTGAGAAACTTCTGAATTTAAATTGTAAATATTAAAGAGTGTGTTAGTGATAAATTCTGAAATCTGAACTTGAAAACTTGTTTTCAACATGAATTTTTTTTATTTTTTAAGCACATAATTTTGAAACCTATTTAAAATTTTGAACATATATTAATACTAATTTTAAAGTTTATTTTTAATCTATATATATATATATATATATATATATATGTTTAATGTTTTATTTTGTCCTTTTGCAGATGCAATATGAATGGCAACTACAAGAATCCTGACGATATGCTGGAATTATCTTTGATTTTTCTACGTATGCAAGAGTCTGAACTAAGAATGGAGGGAAAACGAACAGTAAGTTTTTAGTTTTTTACTATTTATCCGACAATAATTTCATATTATTGAGTCGTTAAAAAAATTTAATTAACTGATAACGTGAGTTAGTAATAGTGACAAATTCGAAAACTAAAAATATTTTAGAATCAAAAATAAATGTATTGCAAATCAATCAAAACTGATGTATGCGTTTGGGTATATATTTATATGTATGTATGATTTGGCACTTTTTGTTTGAAGTAGAACGGTTCAATCGAATTGCTGGAATTTAAATATAGAATCGAATTTTTTAAAAAAAAATCTTTCTTAATTGACACACTTCTTTATAGAAACTCCTTTTTCCTAATCACAAAAATTCAAAATATAATTTTCTAATTCTCACTAATAATTCGTGCATGCAGTAATTTGCCTTGAAGCACAATCTTAAATCATACTAGCTTAATTTCATAATTAGATAAAAGGATTAATTTATTTTACTTTCTAAGGTTTCGATATGTTTCTGTCTGGGTTATATATATATATATATATATATATATATATATAACCGATTCTAAAATTTACATAAAAAGATTTTTGGTAATAAAAATTAAAATAAATTTTGACAACTAAATTAAAGAACTTTGATGTAATCTAATGAAGTGCGGGAGTGAAAATATGTAGTTCTCCGTATATTTTCTCGTTCGTTAAAAAGAATCTTTTTATAATTTTATTATCTATCATATATTTTATTTGAGGCCTTTCTGTATATTCTGAAATATTACTATTTTAGAAATGAAAAGCCTTTGTTATATCTGATAATTGTTGTTGATTGAATTATCTGACGTATTTCGCATGCAACCGGTAATTAATATGCAACTCGGATGTAGCCAAATTGTATGTTAATTTAATGTATATATTATAATATATTCTACTGTATCAAGGAAGAACACTGGAAGGTCCACCATGTTGTCTATGTCTTGTTTATTATTCTAACTTACAAGTACCATTTTTATTTTGCCTTTTTGAGTCGTGAGTTTTTTTTATAATAAGATTTAATATTGATTCTATCATATGTAAATGCTATTTCATATGTTTCAACACAAAAGTTAATCCAGATGATGATTGAAAATTATGTTATAAACAATTTGTGTTAGGAGAAACTAAGTACGGTTGTGCTACTATCATTTTGGTCGGCCATAATTTTAGTTCATCCGTTAGCTGAAAGTAAAGTAAATTAAATGGTGATGTGAATATTTGTCTGAAACATTTTTTGACTCTTTAAAAGCAATGTGGCTTACAGCTCGTGTTAATGTAAGAAACTGACTAAAAGCAATAATGGTAACTTGTTCGAACAATCATACTACATCTTTTCCCCATTTGGATCCTACCTCAAAATCAATATAGTTTAGCAGTTATACTGTCACTTCCGTACTCTGCAACAACCGTTTCCAGTCTTCCTATTGCTTGATTGAATAACTGAATTGCTATGTACCATGAAGAAATATCATCAAAGTGGATCAAATCATGGAAATAATGTAATCAACATTTTTACTGATGTTTTTGATTTAGATCAATAACTGAAAAAATAATTTGAACTTTAATTAGTTTGCCTAAATATAATTTGAATTATCGTAAGACTTACTTCAATTTTGCAAATAACTCTCTCTACAAAATATTAGTTTGTGTACCTGTGATATTGTATTATGAACACACACTATCATAATCAATGTTTAGCAATCCATTTTCCGGGTTTGGCCACAATAAATTGCTATGCACCGCAGCAATATATACGTTTATTTATTTCCTAATATCTTGCTAAGCCAATTTTCGACGCATATTTTTAAGTGAATATATATTCTCTATTTGATTAGATTTATTATGATTACGAAGCATCGTCTGTTTATTTTGCGAATAGCGGTTGTAAACTAGCAATGCTATTAACTCGGTCGAGTATTTTAGGGAAATTATATTATTATCGTACCTCTAAAACTGAGTTTATTTGTGCTACAAACATGTCTGTACATTAAATATATAATGAAGAAAGCCACAGAATCGTTTGGTTTATATTGGCTACAATTATAATTTATCCACAGGTAAGTCAAATCAGAATATCAGTTCTGAAACAGACAGTTTTACTTGTCTGTTTCAGAACAAAAATTGCTATATAATAAATAATATATATATATATATATATATATATTATTAAATTTAATTTTTAAAAAATATGTAAATATTTATATAATTTTAATGATAAAGTGTCAAAACAGTTAATATTAATAGGGGGGGGGGCGCTAGAAAAAAGTTGCATGCGGGCGCCAAGGGCCCCAGGACCGGCCCTGTATATATATATATATATATATATATATATATATATAAAATATATTAAATTATTAGTACATAAATCATCCCATATTGAAAATTATAATTGAAAGTACGACGATCTGTTATTTTGCTTAAGTTGTATTATCGTTTATTTCTTTGTGATTTGCAATCCTTCTGCAATACCCGTGAGGCAGTGGTGTTGTGCTAATATTTTTTTTGCCGGAACGCTAAAATTTAAAATCCGGTTCAAAAAAATTGATATATTTCGATAAGAACTCACAAATCTAATATATTGCCTTCTTATATAATTAACTCTATTATATACAGCTAGTCTATACATTAAATTGTACAAGTATAGGGAATCATTGAGTACATAATTTATATTCTTTAATAACATTAATTATATTTATTGTGGTATTATTTGTATTCATTAATACTTACAGGTATTTATTATGATATAAAAGTACTCAAGATTTATTACAATACTTTATAAGACTTAACCTAATAATATGAGTGATAACCTATTACCTATCTTACTATACTGTATTATTGTATATCATAGGTAGATATCTATTATCAATCATACCGTGAGATACCTATACCGTCATTAACTTATTATATACCTACATACTTTTATGTTCTTATAAATATTACTGTCTAATATATATTTACCTATATTATATAGGTTTACCTTACGCCCGATGTATTATCTACCTATCTATTGGCTATTCTGGGAATTGAACCCGGGACCTCCGCGTGGAAGTCGTGCACCTTAACCACTACCCTATCGGGTACCTCCATTAATAATATAATATGGGACGCACTGTTGTTTCCGCGGGTCATTTTCTAATTAATTAGGTGATTAATACTAAGGTGGCGCGACGACACGCGAGAATAGACGGTTGATTGTAGCGTTACCGTGGTCTAGTGGCCAAGGTTGTCGCGTGCCACGCGGCTGACCCGGGTTCGATTCTCGGTAGGGTTAATGTATCGTGTAAGCAAAATTATAGGTAATAGGATATATAGTAGATATAGGTTAAGTGTATTCGGTATACAATGTAGGGATTTGAGAGTATGTGATGAAATATAGCGTATGGTATAGATGTAAGGTGTGTAGTATAGAATGCAACGTATAGGCATACGTATAGGCTATAAAAATACACGAATAGGAACCTATGATGTAGGTGTTAGCGTATAAGAAATGCGAATGAATATTAGATTTAATTTATAAATATTATTTTTTCTATAAGAATTTTTATCTCGGTATTAAATATCTAAAATATCCAAAATATACGTCAAGACATTGATTACACCTTACTGCTGCCTTTGCCGTTATCACTTCATAGAAAATTAATTACTGCACTTTTGAACGATTGTGTGCACTGTGCGACAACAGGCATAGAACTATAAATTTTATTAAATGTTTGAGTAATTTGTGCGAGCTGATTTTCTTAAGATGTTCTTAATCTCGCAACTTACTGAATTCTAAAAATTCTAAATTTAAAAATATAATATCAAAATTATTATACCGCTGTCTGGAAGGGATGGCAATTATAAATATACAGACTAATACATACAGAATTTGGAATTTTTTTATAATCCGTAATATTGAGAATGTTTGCATTAGACCTAAAAAGGGATGCTTATTTACCTAAGCTATGGAAATATATATGGAAAAATATATGATTTGCACATGCATCCTGTGCTCACTTAAACTAAACAATGATCATAATATATTTAACGAATTTTTAACAGTATTTACAAATTACATTCAAATCACCCAAAGCAAGTGGGTTAAAGTCGCGTAATTTTTGAATTTGCCTCTCCACTTTGAATTTAAAAATGGATATTTCTGTGGGGCGTGTGCCCCACGTTGGGAATTACTAGTCTAGGAGTACAATTTTTCAATTTACTACCAGGTTAATTTAATCTACTATCAATAATTGAGTGATCATCAATTCCACAGCACCTTCATCAGATTTTTAAAAGATCAAAGTTTCTATGAATATGCATACAATTTTCAAATTGTAGGCCGAAATTTAGACAATAAGTCTATTGAAATATCAGGGTAACTCTTTTGCTATAAATTGTCAACTAATTTACCAATAAATGTTGGATTGTAAAAATTTACAAGCGATCGAACGGCTTATATTTTTGCCAAAATATTACAATTTTTTGCAGTTCTTATGCTTTTGTATTTATAGAATTGCTTTTTTCGCTACAATCAATTTCCATTATATGAATGTCTTAAATTATTTATTTTATTCGACTAACGCCCGCTATGTCCGAAACAAGTCCAACTTATATTCGAAATAATCGGGCATCAGACACTTTTCGGTCTTAAAGTAACATATGTGAAATTTGAAATACACTACTGTATTGTAATTAATATTTCAGTTCATACACCTCAATTTGTAACTAAATTAAAAACGACTTTGATAAAAGCGTGAGGGCTATTTTCACTTGGAAACATACATTTTATCTACATTTACAAGTGAAAATGCATATTACTGATAGGTTGCACGCATCACAGGAACATCTCCTTATCTTCTTATGTACTGATTTGTTTACATGGAAGTACATTTACTATATAAATTACTTCTTGTTGACAAGAATGGTGCACATGCTTTATAACTATACTTAAAAGCATGATTGAAAATTCAATCATGGGGTTCCTCAATAGAGTATTAAAAGGTAAAATAACAAGTTGTCGTTTCCACGAAAGCTTTGCATTATGTGCAGTGTATCATCACTCCATTCAGTAACAAGTGTTCTAATGGAGTCACAAACAGCTCGTAGGTTGTAATTTTAACGAGTTCGAGTTCAAACCAACCACCGCATATTGCTTACGCATAGAAAATACTGAAGATAACAAGTGCATTTAAGACGCACGGGGAGTCATTTGCTTTATTAGAGAACAGGCTGAAGGTTATTTCATGCGAAAAGTTGTAGAACCGTTTGAATTGAACTAGATGTTGGTAACTTTGTGGTTTTGGAATTTATTTTTTACGGATTTTATTAACTTACCAACGGAGAAGTTTATGTTTTTGCAAAAAATTTTGACGTCTGATGAAACTTTGTATAACGAAAGATTTTGTCGTCTTAAATATTATACTGAAATATTTTAGGCATTCGATAAGCGGTTCAATTATAAAAATTCATCAAAATTTAAAATTGCGCTGCGTGCTTGAGCGATTCTAATCAGAATCTATGCAGAAGAAGAATCTGTAGGTGTTGGTGGTACTGGGTACAGTGTCGTCCACACTAAATAATACACATTTTTAAATCTTGAAATGGATGAAATGAAATGTATTAAATAAATTAATGTATAATATACAATTTCGAGATATCTACGTTCCAAAGCTATTAATTTTAAATAATTTTTAATAAAAGCGAAATCTTTAATCTATAAATAGTTGAACATTTTATCTAAATAGCTAATTCTATTTCTTGTTGATAAAGTCCATTCTTTACTCGTATCGGAAAGTTCATGCAACTTGCTTTAAGGCAAAATGCTATTTGCAACCAGTCTTATTATTTCTATCCTTCAGAAATAAATTTATTGTAATGGATAATAGCACTTTTTAATGAAAAATTTAGATTGTTGTTCTTTTTGTTCTTTTACCATTAAAATCATTAAAATATTTTTTATATATATGGCTGAAATATGCGCATATACTGTAAATTTTTAATTTTTTAAATCAATTCGTATATATTCATGGTTTCACATATTACAATTCGTATAGTTTCTAAGTTTTCAACAATCGGCTGCAATTCTTCAATTCTAGTTAATCAAATAGATTTTATATGTATTTAATTTCAATAACAAAATACTTTAGATTTTTTTTCAACAATAAAAGCTAAAGTCGGTTTAGCCGTTTCGGAGAAACGGTTATATAGATATGCGAGAGAACGGAGCATCCGATTTTAATGATTCAAAAAGCACTCGACTTGTATTGACATAATGAAAAATTGATTAAATTTTTGCAAAAGCAGGTCCAAAGATTCTAAACGATTTTAGACAGTCTAGATTAACGGACATGAATGGGTATCAGAAAGTTTTCACAAAATAACATTATTTTTAAACTAGCTGTAAGTGGAATTCTGTCTTAAGGCAATTAAGGCATCGTGCCTTGATGCAAATTGCTGGAACTCTCCGTACCGTAACGAAATGATCGAGGAATATTAAATGTTTTAAAATAGATTATTTTAAATATTGTAACATTGTCTAATATTTATAAGAATTACATAAACTGAATTGGAAAGTTGAAATTATTTGTTTAAGGTATATTAGAACAGAATTAAAATAGAAATCTGAACTATTTTCGATATACAAAAAAAATTAAAAAAAAAATTTTGAAACAATTTTTTTTTCAAAATTAATTATTTTGTTAAAACAAGCAGAAAGTTCTTTGAATAATACAAATCGGACGCTTAGTTCCCTCAAAAACTACCATTTTTTGCACATTTAGCTCTGTATCTCCGAAACCGCTGGACCTGCCTTTGCCTTAAACTAATCACCACCTCTCCCCGTCATTACAAATTGATTATTTTGGATCATTCAAATCGGATGCTCCGTTCTCTCAAAAACTTAATTTTTATTTTCTGCACTCTTTGCTCTTTATCTCCATAACTGCTGGGCCTGCCTTTGCCAAAAACTAATCAGCACATCTTCCTATAGATAGGAATCTAATGTTTTTTGAACCATTCAAATCGGTTTATCCGTGCGCCCGAAAACGTGGACGAAAAATTGACATACATACACACACACACACTTTGATTTTTTCTGAAGTATGCCAAAATGTTCAGAAACCTTCAAAACGTCGAGAAATAAATGTAAACATTTTCGATTTCGATTTTTGGACGATTACAATAACTTACCCTACGGGAAGTTAAAAAAGGAATTTTTTCAACTTTTTTTTCAGTTATCCAAAAAAAAATTGATGCATTTTTAAAAATATTTATTTTCAGTACGGGTAGTTCCAGCAATTTGCTTTAAGGTACGATGCCATGCGTAACATCTAATTTTGCAAAGTATTTACTAGATCTAATTCTATTTTATCAGTAGTATCATTATGATCTAGTCCGATGTTCTAGGAACATGCGGGTTCGATATTTCATTTCCTCTTTTCATACGCGACAGCGGAGAAGTGTCTATTTCGAAATGTCACCGTTTGCCGTATCTGCCTCGCACAATGGCGAACAACCTGACAAAGGCTGCCTGGGAGACGACCTGACTAGTATTATGACGTCCGACGCTTTACAACGCAACCAACTATTGTGCGCGCCTTCAGATTCGCTAATGGCAACGCGCGAGGCCTATTCAATTCCTAAATGGATAAGAAACGAATTTTCAATGGAAATATATACATTTTGAACGCTTACAATTTGATAGATATTGTGAAAGATGTGTTAATGGATACCCTTAAGAATAATATTGAGATTCTGTAATAAACTCTAGCCGTTTACTTTTAGAAGACACATGCGATGGTTGAAATTCAGTTCAAGAGAGATAGTTTTAAAATCTTTAGAGAATACAGTACAAATAATTTTTGCATGCGGTTTTATTTGTAAAAATTTTGCGCAGTTCAATATATGTAAACTAAACTTAGAATATTACATAAAAAAGTAGTGGTAACACCCAGCGATATATCTACTAGGAATGTATAACATATATAATTGAAATTGATAAAACAAAAGAAAAAAATCAATAAAATATACCAATATTTACCTGAACTAAATGAGATCTTGTGGCAATTTTCTTCTCACTCTGGTGGGGTAGCATTTCAGGTATATTCCACCGGCCAATTCATTAATATGCTCGTCATTTTTATATTTGTGGGCCATCGGTGGCGATATCGGTTAGAACGTGGGCTAGCACCAACTAGTCCCGGGTTCACTGTGTGGGGAATCAAGCAGGCTAGACATGGTGGTAAAACAATATAACTTGTCATTTTTATTTATCATAAAATTTTGTAATTAATAAATCGTTTATATTTTCATCCAATGGACTTTATATTTTTATATTCATAACTTTTTCCTATACTGGTGACCTACGACGTTTGTGATGAAGACAAAGAAGGAACGTGAATCGGAAATTTAAAAAAATGTAGACTTTGATGCAGCACCATAATCACTGGTCTTCCGTGACTACTTATAAGGTACTGTTGGTATACTCATTTTGTATACCCAGACCTCAGTGTTTATTGCTGACACAAAAATTAATTCTGAGCCTAGACTTTGGGTCCTGAATTGAATTCACTATCAAATACTTCATTGGAATTGCAATTCGACCTCTCCTTGTCCGTTAACTCACCAAATCGTCTTTTGATGCATTAAACTTTGGAACTGCATCTGGTCAAGATGATGACTCTTCGATACGCTTTCCTTCGAATCACAACCGATTCGAGAATCTGATGATACAAAGGACTACTGAAGTCGACATGATTATTATAATCATTGCGAAAGTCCATATTCTTACAGAGCGCCATCTATTTACCCAAAATATTATAGAAATTAAAATAAATACAGTAGATCATGGCTGAATCTTCAAAGTTTTGCAAGACATCGAGATTCAGGAGATTTACCACGTGATTTATATTCAGAACCATATGCATAGTATGAAGATGATGGAAGGTCGAATTACCTACCATACAGTGGATCTGCCGACGAAACTGTCATTTATTCCATTGGATGAATTTCTAATTAACCAGTACCACAACACTGCTATAATCTGCTTTCCCACCATATTTTTATAACGTGTTTCCCTGTATTTTTTAAACTGTGAGGTCAACACTGGGCAGGGTTTGTGTGGGGATTCAAGCAGGCTAGACATGGTGGAAAAACAATATAACATTCATTTTGTCTTGTCATTTTCATTTATCATAAAATTTTGTGATTTATATAATCGTTTATATTTTCATTCAATGGATTTTATAATTTTATATACATAACTTTTTCCTACAACTGGTTTGATTCCCGCTATCGCCAAGCCTGACATCAGGCAACTTTGATGTCAAATTTCTACTTGAGGCTATAGATCTCAAATATAGCCTCAAGTGAAAATTGCCTCTTGTGGGTATAGTTGCTTATATAGTAAAATGTCAGCAAATTCGAATATAGATAATTAGTCATAACTAGGCTGGACAACTACTGGGTTGCCATCCATTCAAGATTCATATAGTAAGAAAAGTCAAAACAATTACTGAATGTCCTAAGTGTGACAGATTGTGATTAAAATAAAAACAATAAAAAAAAATCTATATTTATATTTAGAAGCAACCACAACGGTTTGTTCTGCTATTGTGAGCAAGTCTGTGTCTTGGTGAATAAACCATATGGTATTCACCAAGCACAGACTTTCTTGCCAAAATATGTTGACGTGTAACGAGGAGCGTTTAAGATTTGCCTCGGGATTTTATTTTGAGTGCGTTGCATGATGTTCAAGTTACTATTTTTTGTAGTACCTAAAGTTGAATTTCATCGTCACACTGAATTTGAAAATGCCTAATTATATTTTATTTTCATTAATCACTGGACTATCAATATTAATACACTCAATACTTCTGACAATGTATAAAACTAAATTTAATTTATATTGTCGTTTTCAACAGTAAACAGAATCTATGAATTCTTGTATTCGAACTTGCCGTAATTAGATAATAAGCCAGCAGTTAACAAAACCATATTTGTTAATAACTGTTATTAGCATGAATCTAACATTTTTCATATCTGATTTTCTTAGATACAGAAATGTCCTAGATGGGCTATTTTTACTTGAAAACATATTATAGATTTATATTTTCAAAAGTGGATATCGCTACTGCTCGATATCTGCAGTTGAACTCGGGTTCTGTATTCTGACAGCATGAGCACACAAGCATCTTATTTTCTTAGTATTGATATGATGAAATTTTTTGTTGTCTAATCGTAATATATTGAGGAAATTAGCTATGATTTCTGAACCATTTACGCTTTTTCATCCAACCATCAGTAATTTGATTTGTCTATTATCAACAAAATGCTAGTCATAATAATTGTTCATCAGAGAAATATAAATGTTATACTTTGAGATAAATGAGATTTTATGCTGATATTTTACATTAAAATCGTCAATTTCCTCTACAAATTTATGAAGCAAGTAATTAAACTATCTTTCCTTTAATATCCCTATAAAGTTTGACGCTTTGAATAACTGCGTTTTAATTACTCATGAAAATATTTCTGACATGATTTTAAATTAATTACACCGCATACTGAATTACGCGGTAACAGAAATGTAATTAAAAGTAACAGTCCGGGAACCAACGAAAACACCGAATTATGTTACGAGACCGAAATCCTTCGTCATGACACAGCTTTTCCTTTTTCAACGGTCCTGTCACACTTGACGCGAAATGCTCTTTGTAGCTTTTCTCATGATGTATGAGGACACTGTGTAATTAATACCAGAAAACCATCATGCTGATCGATATGTCCTTGTGGTTGGACTATGACATATTTCGAATTGTAGTTTGATCATCGTGGAATAGTAGAAGTGGTTAGTACTGTGGCTTTGCTTAACTCATAGGATTAATACGTACAATTGCTAACTCGATAGAAATCATTTAGTAAATTCCTAATTTCTGAATATAACAAATCAACAAGTAATAATTTAAATCGTTGGATTTAAGAACAAATGTGAAACTTAATATAACGATTGTTAATTTGTTTAATATTGACTCCATTCAAACTTTATAACAAATTTCAATATCTTATGGTTTAACCAAACTCTGGTTTTAGTAACATTTGAAATTATTTACCTATTTTTATTTAAACATGTGAATTTTTATATTATGTAAGGTTTTAGATTCCAATCCCAGGTTCGATTATATATACCATATGAGGTGATATTTGCATTAGTTATGTTTTTTTCAGTTTTTTTTTTTCACCTGGTCTGGTACTAATAATTTTACTTCTTTTTTTGTAGAAACATAAATCTGTATCTTTGAACAAATTAATGTATTTTTTCAGCTGAATGGTGAGACGCAATTGGCCTCGAAACGTCTATACGTTTATGAATATTTCTTTCATTTCGACGCATTGGCCGTTTTATTATCAATATATATATATATATATATATATATATATATATATCATTTATTTATACATTTACACCTACAGGTATGACTAAAAATATTGGATAACCCTCGGCATTAAAATAAATTGAGCTATTGGAAATAAATTTGTTCAATAGATTGTAGTATATATTTCTAATATACATAAAACATATTTTAATATTTGTTTGATCGATGGTTTTACGTGGTTGATTTTCAGAGTATAAATAAAGAGTTAAGTGTGGGTTCTGACACTCGTCATCTTATAAAGCAGCTGTACATTTAAGATCACCCATAGGAATATATATACATTTCTGTATAGACTGTAGTGTAAAATCATAATAATTTTTAACTAATTGGTAAATATCAGTATTAAAAATAATTCTAACTTTTGAATTATAGACATGGGTACAGAACAATGTCTGTCGGGTCATCTAGTATATATATATATATATATATATATATATATATATATATACACCTAAGTCTGTTTTTACACGGAGATTGGTTCCAGAAGAAGCCGTGTAAAAAAAAAACGTTTAAAAAAAGACATTGATCTTATACAAAAATGGGTGATTTGTTCCTAATCTCGAAAACCTATTAAAATTGGTGAAAAACAAGAATTTTTAAGAACAAGAATTAAATTAGTGCTATTCACATTTGCTTTGACCAGTAAAAATTGTTTGTGCGCGCTAAAGGAGAATTCACTTAAATCTTTAAGCTAGTGTTTGCAAACTATCGATACTATCGATGGTTTCAGACTTTTTTCTTTCATAAATACTTTTTTGTGATATGAACATACTTCGCAAAAATTAAATTTGACAAAAAAAATTTAGGTACATAAAATTTCAAATCGTGCTAAATGGAATAAATTCGTGTAAAAAAATTAAAAATATTCAATTTTCAAACCGTGTTATATCAAAACCGTGTACAAAAAGACCGTGTAAAACAGACTTAGGTGTATATATATATATATATATATATATATATATACGAGTATATATATATATATATATATATATTTGTTGCTAAATCTAGTTCAAACTGCTACTAAAAGTTTAATGATGCTTATATGAATGATTGCATTTGGTTGCGGACACACATTTTATGCGACAATAAACATATTATTTATTTAACTTAAATTAAATTAACGCAAAAATTAAATTTGACAAAAAAAATTTAGGTACATAAAATTTCAAATCGTGCTAAATGGAATAAATTCGTGTAAAAAAATTAAAAATATTCAATTTTCAAACCGTGTTATATCAAAACCGAGTACAAAAAGACCGTGTAAAACAGACTTAGGTGTATATATATATATATATATATATATATATACGAGTATATATATATATATATATATTTGTTGCTAAATCTAGTTCAAACTGCTACTAAAAGTTTAATGATGCTTATATGAATGATTGCATTTGGTTGCGGACACACATTTTATGCGACAATAAACATATTATTTATTTAACTTGAATTTAAAACGTATTGTTTAAATTCGTAATAAATGCATAGAAATTTATGTTCATATTATATTAATAAAACTTTATTTGACTTTGAAATATTGTAAATTTATTTTACATTTGATCGAAAATATATAAAGATATATGTATATGTTTTTATATACATACATATATACATATATAATATAAAGACATATATATATATATATATATATATAAATATATATATATATATATATTTATTTATTTATATATTTGCCGCTCCGGCAGCAAAACACGTATTAATTCTGCATATCACGAGTGGAAAGGGTTAATTTTGGTCTTGAAATATATGAGTAAGTTTTTTTAGATTCATACATAAAAAAAGAATAATTTATAAATTAATCTTTCATTTTAAACGTTTCGACATACAATTTGATGTCGTTATCAGTGGATTTTTCACGTAGTATCTTACATATAAAGTTGTGTGCACAGCACAAAGTGTGTATATATATATATATGTGTATATATATATATATATATGTGTATAAAGTGTATATATATATATATATATGTTAGATAGATTGGGCGTTACATATAAAAAATATAGATATGAAGGTTTTTTTTAACTTACCGAAGGAGAAGTTTATGTTTTCAGCAAAAAATCCGACTCGCTAATTTTATGTTTTCTCGACGTTTCAAGCCATTCTGAATCGGATGAAACCAAATTTGGAAAAAGTATGTGTGTGTGTGCGTGTGTGAACAGATTTTTTGCCGTAAATCGACGTTTTCTCAAAAACGGCTGGATCGATTTCAAACATTTAAAAGCCATTCGATGTATCCGGGCCGTTTCTTTGTAAATCGCAGAAAAGTGAAAAATGTTTCGTCCTCGTTTTAGCCCGCAATTCTGAATCGATTTTGAAAATTCCAAAACCGTTCGATAGATATAGATTGGGAATTGTGCTGATTAGTTTTTGGTAAAGATCGACCGGGCCGTTTTCTTGTAATAAAGTTTTTTTTAAAAAAATGTGACGATTTTTATGATTTTTTTTTTGAGGGTAGATACCATAGTCTTGTAGATCAAGACTACTTTATAAGTCTTGATTGACAAAATAGTAAATAAAGGTATAAAAAAAATATTGCCGTAACACTTGATCTATCACTTCTGCAGTCTTTTCTTACAAAAAAGTCATTTTTCAGTGTCGCCAGAGTCTATTGTGATACCAATCGTATCGTGCATCGTGGGTTTCCCTATATTGGCATTGCTCATCATCTGCTGTCTTCGCCGAAGGGCTCGAATGGCAAGGGAGAGAGCGAGAAGAAGGAACTGTGATAAGGAACACGGCACTTTGTCACTAGTTCGATTCAGTCCAATTCATAGATTAGGTGAGTAGATAGATCTTAAAAACCTTTTATCAAACTTAGCAAATACTACCTAACTCTAATGCGATTATGTACCAACTCAAAAGTCAATTGAATTTAGTTGGCGGTAGGGACAGCAAATATATTTATAAATGACTTTAGAAATGATTAGTGCAACAATTGGTCGTTGTATTATTTACCATCTAAGAATAATAGTATACAAATCAAAGTTAAAAACTTATTACTTCTGCACTTTAGTACTTCTGCAGAACAATTAAATCATATCCACTATTACCACTCTGTTCAATTATTAAAATTTAATGATTTTAATAAAATTCTGCTACTATGACAAAATCTTCATTAAATATTATGAAACAATTGTTAGAGAAATGCAATAATTGATAAGCAAATTTCATTCTCAGTAAATAATCCTTCATGACTCTTTCCTAACCCGGTCAATATCCAAAGTTCCAATATTGTATCTATTTTATTTCATTGCCGATATATTTTTCATATTAATGGAAATAAGAATCCTAATAAATAACTACAAGAAAACTAAAATAAGCAAGTATAGTTTTGTTTTATTGTACGAAAATTTGATCTATATTAGTGTTCACGGTTCCACCGGCTTTATTAATTTAAAGATTACAGTATATTGTCTATTTCATCTGCTTGAACTAATTTCCTTTATCTTATTTTGATTAGCGTTTCACGAAATGCTTACAAAAAATTATGGACATATATTCATAAAGATTACAATAGTTATTTTCGATATGTGTCTTTTTTCATTATTCATTGTGTCGGCTCCCTGTTAATTAGTGGTTAGAGCCACTTTATACTTGTTTATCTATGGTTGGAGTTACGAAATTTAAATCAGAAAATCCGGGTTTCATTCTTTCCTCCGACAGCTTGATGTCGAGCCGTAGTGATATCCGTTTTTACTTAGAAATATAGATAGCAATATGTTTCCAAGTGAAAATAGCACTTACTTTGCAGCAGCATTCCAATTGGAAAGGCGACTGTGGGTTTATCTTCTAATAGCATCCAATAATAAAAAGAACAGGTTAAGACTATAATAAGATTGCCTACTAATAACAACTTTTTTAGTAATAAGCAGTGTCCCATATAGCTAAGAACGTGTGATAATATATAAATAATTTACAAAAATTATTTCATTATATGTTAAAACTAATTTATATTGTATTTCAGCCGGAACTCATAATGCTAGGCCCATAACTTTAAAACCCGATAGACAAATGAGTCGGGGCTTTCCTTCGCAGGAACTAGATACCGTGGTTGAAGAAAAGTCAGATCCGGAGCAAACACAGGTGAATATAATTTTATAAATCAATTTCATTAGCCGTTTCAACCGACAGTAAATACAAAAAATACCATATCTTTTCTGATCTAAATAACAATTTATTAGTGCGGTTAATAGAGTTTCTACTGTACTTATGAATTTATAGTTGTTTTTTAATCAGCTCTTCTGTCAATAAAGGGTTCAACACACGATATGTTACGTGAAAAATATGAACGGCGTTAAACCAAATTAAATCGTATATAAGCTAGGCCAATAATGTAGAAAAACTGTTGATAATTTACTCCATTGTTATATTAATATTTCTTTTAACGTTGAGATATTTCAGGTTGAGTTAATGACGCCAGATACAGATACGAACGGAACCGACACAACTGGGAAAGAGAGCTAGCCGAAAATCACCCGCCACACGGCGCTTATACATGGAGGACCTAGTGTTAGTATACCATGGATAAACATGTAGTATACTAAACAAAAACTATTTATCTCAACTAGAAGAAGAATTATCAATACTAAACCTACCAAGGCCGGTCAAAATGACCGTTTCAAACTGTATTAACTTAGACATTTTTAAACGTTAAAATACCAATATCAAACTATATGACAATTCTTAGAACATACTATTATTTTTTTTACACTTTGATTTTAATTATTTTTTATATTTTCCGAAAAAAAATTGTTATCTGGCCTAACTACCGCGGTCGGTCAATTTGACCGCTGAAAAATAATGTTATTTGTGATGTCGATTTCATCGAATCAAAACCAAAAAAATTTAGAATGATGTTCTGGACGACATCTGAGGTCAATAGTAAATAAACTATAAGTGGGTTTCCTTATTTGGGAAATGACAAGAGAAGAGATTGTTCAATTCTTCAATTGGATAGTTCATTGTTCTAAAACAAATAAATTCATTCACTGTATAAATCAAATTTCATTACCATCTCAGTAAAAAAGAAATCGGTATAAAAGAAAACCGAAAAAATGCTTGTCCGAAGTTTCAAAATGGTTTCAAACATTATTCTCAAATTTTCCTAACCAATGTTTATTTCGTTTGATTGATTTTTCGAAGGACCAATGATATTTAAAACACTTTAATTGTGATATTTTGCGTTTATTTTAAAATTAACTACAAATTGTATTTGTATGTGCAATGTTTTCAAAGTTTTATTTCATTGTATTGATTGATTTAATTTTATGATGATTTTTGATTTGATTGCTTTTGTTTCTATATCAATATATGGCATGCTTTGATTTTGGCGTGAACATACTCCTTACTAGGGAATGCAATACCGGTATACCGAATTACCGGTAAACCGCCCGATTTTTTGGCAGTATTTATTCCAAAAATACCGGTATTTTCAGTATTTTTACATAAGCGTTATTTGATACATAATACCTTAAAGTTTAAATTTCTCGGAACAAATTTATCTTTAAATTCCATAATCGCATAAACAGCTATATCTTCAAGTGATTCTATAAGATAAACAAATGTCAAATATTATCTCAACTCGTCATTAAACTGAATATTTATTGCTTTCCAAAGGGCTTCATATCGTGTTACAATAAATAGAATTGGACTGATAGATAATGATGTTTGTTTCATCTTTTGTAAAAATGTAACGGTTTTTTAAGTGATATTTGCGCCAAAATATTTTATATCATATAGATTACCTCTGCGTAATCTTTATTATTTTTTAACTTTATACATAATAATTATGATAATTACTAAATATTTTTGCTTCTTATTACAATTATAAAATATTATTCTTCGAAAACGTTTCGAGGTTTGAAAATACTATAGAAGCATCATATTGTTTTAAATAACAATACTCAACAATTATAGTAACTTATTATTTATCTCGACAAAGAATACGATCTTGAATTAGTGTAGCGAAATTATTTTTTTAAATATTGGAGAGTATGCTAGTTTAACACATCGGATATAGACAATTCAGTTTATTATAATAATGTAATATGATTTTTTATGAGTTTTTGGCCTTTCTTGCTCATAAGTTTGTTTTTGGTGAAAAGTACTCAGTATACTCGATAGTGATAATGTATTAAGCAATTGCATATACTTTTGTTAAATTATTATTTAAAATAATAAACTTATTGTTTTTTTTTATTGTTTACGTGAATATAGTTGTAGTTGTATATACATTTTTTTATATTTGTACTAGTAACTTTCAATTTTGTTTACGTTTGGTTAAGATAATAAAAATACCAGTAACTTACCGGTATTCCGGTTTTTAAATGAAAAATTACCGAAATACCGGTATTGAAATTTTCCATCGGTATTGCATTCTCTAGTAAGGATACTTTAGCATTTACCCGACTTTATTCTTACACACTATTTTTTGTGTAATACCAATTTTTTAAAATTTTTATTTATAACTATAGAGGCTATGTTATATAATAAATTATAGTAATATATTAAATCGCAAGTTCAAAAACTTTATCTGTAATTCTAGGTATCGGGCGAGAGACCACCATTATGGAGTTCGCTGACACATATGCATGCACTCCATGAGGCTTTACCTTTGAGTTGACCCGAAACATCAGTTTCATAATGTCTAATAACTTTTATTTTTAAGATTACCTAAAAATTGCGCATTAAATACAACTTAAATGATAATTACTATAAGTTACACTACGAGAAGTTAAAAAGAATATTATTCCTTCTCAGTGGAGGTGATGTCGAAAACTTCGTATAAGTGAAACTAAAGTGAAACAAGTTTTAAAAGAAAATCAATTAACTAAATTTACGTAAAATCGTTTCGTAATTATTGATTGGATATTTATTAAATAATTTAATAAATTAATATTAAAGTTGTTCCATTAAATGATTATTAGTAGATTTTTATTGTTACTAGCTGTTGGTTTCTCAACTGCAAATATAATATATTTAATAAATTTTATTATGCGCTTTGCGCTGAACCTATTTGTTTGGGGAAAAAGATATTCTCAAAATGATCGAATGAATCGAAATTTATATACATTGAAAGATCGATTATAGCTGTACAAATAAATGAGATTTGTTTTTTCATTTGCTTTGGTTTTATGAGTACTAGTATCAAAATTAATGATAAAGAACTTTAGTCAAGATGGTATTTGATGAGAATTTGAATTTCTTATTTGTGATGGTATTTTTTGCATAATTATACCATAAAACTGTGACCAATAATTTTCGTAATTGTTACTAAAAATTGAGAATTTCTTTTTCTTCAAATTAATGCTATTGCATTACGAACTTTGTATATAAAAAATATAGTTTAGAAATGAAATATTCTACAAATAATAAAGATTTATAATAATAATTTAAATTTATAAAATCTCATGCTTATATGACTTATGAATTCTATTCCATTTATGTTTAATAAAGGTATTTTCTTAAAAACATCTTAATGTAGCGTCATTATGTTACTTCATAATCTTGTTTTTATTTTGAAGCTCTTAATATAGGGTCCAATAGACGGTAATTTTGCACATATGCTGTTTTGCTCTGAACGAAGTAGCGTTTATTAAATACCAGTTCTAGTAAAAAGTTCCAAGCATTTTCTTTTAGTTGTCGAACTATCATATTACCTGACAATGAGTATAAAAGGTGTTGCATTAATCTTTCAAAAAATTATCAAAATTTTAAACAACTTCCGTTTGAAACTCGCCCTTTCTCTCTGGTAACACATTTGAGAAAATATCATATCAAATAAATGAGTAGATGGTTTGAACGACCGAAGAAAAGCTAAGAACTTTTTACTTGAACCGTTATATATATATATATATATAATATTTAATTATACTGAATATATATTATTTTATACGTTACACAGGTTCAACTAAAATTATCAACAAAAATTGAATATAAATCGCAAATAATTTAGCCAATGTAAATGACCAAAATGTAAATATTTATAGATAAATTCAAGACTAATAGAATAAAAATACATTCTTTATAATTTTTTTCTTATAATATTTTGGAATGCATGAGATTCAATTTATTCACAGCCAGATAAATTGTCAATGATGACCGGATTAAATTCACTATCAAAGTGAAGCACATTTTTTATAATTAGGACATGTATTTGGTTTAAATAATCTATACTTATAATATTGTGCTAACAATTTCACAGAATTTAGCAATAATATTAACTCCAGAAACCACCCCTATTTACTGAAAACATCACATTAAGATGACGAACGGAAAAATATTTTTAATGGTATTGCAAGCATTTAGGAGTTATTTTAGTTTCTATGATTTTTTAGTATTTTATCGTTAAAGTATTTGTAAATACATGTTAACAAATAACTAAAAACAATTGCTAGAAAAAGATCTAGTGACTAGATCATTTTGAACTTTATGAATAGTTAATTAGCTCGATTTCAAACCCATAATTTGCATGTTATACAAAGTTAAAAACAATAATAAAACATTTTTAACTTTCCGTAGGGTAAGTTATTGTAATGGGGCGAAAATCGAAATTGAAAATTTTTACATTTCTCGATGTTTTGAAGGTTTCTGAACATTTTGGCATACCTCAGAAAAAATGGATGTGAGCGTGTGTGTATGTATATATGGATAAAAATTTTCAGTCATGTTTTCGGGCGCACGGATCGACCGATTTGAATGGTTCAAAAAACATTCGATTTCTATTGATAGAGAGATGTGCTGATTAGTTTTCGGCATAGGCAGGTCCAGCAGTTACGGAGATAAAAAGCAAAGGGTGCAGAAAATAGAAATCGAGTTTTTGAGAGAACGGAGCATCCGATTTGAATGATCTAAAAAACATTCAATTAGCAATTATTGGGAAAAGTGTTTATTAGTTTTTCGCAAAGGCAGGAGAACTAAACGTCCGATTTAAATGATTCAAAGAACTTTCTGCTTGTCTTAACAAAATAATTGATCTTGGAAAAAAAATTTTTGTTTAAACTTTTTTTTTTTCAAAAAAAAAATTTTTGTATATCGAAAATAATTCAGATTTTATTTTTAATTCTGACTATACTTCTAATATACTGAAAAATAGAGTTTACGTAAGTAGTTGGGGTCAATCTATCCAAAATGCCTATATACACACATAATGCTAATTTATTATTAAAATCTTATGAATTAGTTGATTCGTTTTGATATTAACCCATTATTGACTGTTTGAGGTACAAGTACATGACTAAAATTACTTGCCGCAAGCGTGAACTATTTGTTTTCAAACTATGTAAAAAGTTAAAATAACTGGTAGGGTGTATGGCATCGTGCCTCAAGGCAAATTGCTGGAACTTCCCGTACCGTAACGAAATGTTCGAGGAATTTTGAATGTTTTCAAATAGATTATTATAAATACCGTAATACTGCCTAATATTTATAAGAATTATATAAACTGAATTACAAAGTTTTTTTTTTTTTTTTTTTTTTTTATTAAAATGGCCTCGTTTTATCCAAACATTTTAGCCAATATCCATTGAATACATATTATAAAATACAATACTATACATTACAAAATATTTCTTCTGTATGAATATACAAAAAACAAGAACCATTATTAATAACATATCTTCATTAACTTGATTTCTATAAGTCACTACAATTTTATATTGCACTCATTCATGAAATCCAGCAACACTCTATATATTCCTATATTACTCTCACTAATAATGTGTCTTGCATTTACTGGAAATTGTACTTTTAGCTGTTGTAGTCTTTTATATAATTTCTTCCGTTCATTTTTATATAATTTGCAATTCCAAAATATGTGGTCCAATGTGTCTAATATGATACTACAAGCACAAAATGGGTCTTCTTTGATACCGATTCTGAATAGATGACTGTTACTCCTTGTGTGTGATAGCCTTAGTCTACAGATTGTTGTTATTTCTCTCCTATTCCATTTAATATTTTGAAACCATGTCCTTCTCGATACCTTCGGGTTACACGGTTGGTAAAGTCTTCCTTTCAAACGTGAGTCTTGATCGAATACCTTTTGCCATTGAGACATTCCATTTTTTGTAACAATTCCTTTAAGGTCTACTGCAGGAATTTTATTTACAATCGAGGGTGTGCTATGTGCATCTTTGGCCAGCCCATCCGCGATCTCATTTCCGATGATATTCGCATGTCCTCTTATCCATATTAATTCGATATTATGCTTCTTTTAATTAAATCTTCTATCTTTCTAATACTGTCGAAAATTAGTGGATTGCCAAAATATTTAGGTATATTTAAAGCATGTAAAGCAGATTTACTATCTGACAAAATTATAACTTTTTCCAATTTATGTTTCCTGATTAGGTCTAATGCTCTATTAATGGCCATCACTTCCGCCGTGAATATTGTAGCCCAATCGGGCATTTTAATTTGAAGTTGTTTGTTTTGACTTGGGATCCAAACTGCGCATCCAACCCCATTATCTGTCTTTGAACCGTCGGTATATATTTGAATAAAATTTTTCCATCTTGAATGCATTAAGTTGTTCAGTTTCAGATTTATTAATTTCTTGTCTATCTTCTTTTCATTATCGAAATCATCTGATAAATGTATGTACTTTTTAGGTAACGTGCCTTTCCAAGACATAGTGAAGTATGTTAATCTATTATTTACCATCATTTCTTCTTCTAGTGGTTTAAGTGTATGGAACCCAGCAATTAAAGGTGGTATTGGTTTTTTGTACCAGAATCTATTTTCAAAATGCAGAACTGCAAGTGGCTCTAAACAGTTGTGTATCCATGCATGATCATAATTAAATTTTTTAATCAAAAACCTATTAGTTATAACCTGTCTTCTTATCTCTAAAGGAGCTTCTGCAGCTTCAGCCAACAGCGAATTTGTAGGTGTCGACTTCAGTGCTCCCAAGCATATTCTTAACGCTGCATATTGTATTCTATTTAGTCTATCCATTATCCCTTTAAAACTTCCTCCATAAATTTGACATCCGGGGTCTAATAACGGCTTTGTAAAACGAGAGACAGATATTGGGATGTGCACCCCAAGTGGTGCCAGTTACTCGTTTTAGGATATTCATTCCTTTTTCACATTTAGCTAACATTTCATTAACGTGTTTGTTAAAGGATAATTTTGTATCCAATATCATTCCTAAAATTTTGATGTTCTCCAATATTTTAATTTGAATCGAGTCTATATTTATACTGATGTAATTTCTTGGGAGCCTATGCCTAGTGAATAGAATGCATTTAGATTTTTGAGGTTCAAGTGTGAGTTTATTGTCCCGCATCCATTCTAAATCTTTTCTTAAAGAGCTGTTCATTTCATCACTACATTCCTGTAATGATCGCGAAGAAATATACATGACTAAATCATCTGCATATTGTAATTTTTTCACTTTTGTCCCTTCTGTCTCTATGAAATCCGACGTATAGATGTTAAATAATATTGGACTTAAAATCGAGCCTTGAGGGATACCATTAAAAGTTATTCTTGGACCTATAAGTCGATTCTGGTTTCTAACATAAATCTTTCTATCGGATAGAAGTGACATAATAGTGCTAGTAATTGTGTTTGGAATATTTATTTTTGTTAATTTATTTTTGAGTATTTGGTGATCTACATGATC